CTCATTAGGATAAGCCTTTATATTTGAAAAGAAGCCAGTCAAGTCTGATGTCTATGTATTGTAATTATGTGGTTTACACAGTGATTAAATGTATCTTCCCTGAGAATTGAGCAAAAAGTGGCAGTCTAATTGAGACGAAAGTCCTTTTTTGGCATTTATTTTTACTACATTATAGCTGTTGTATAGAGGAAAAGAGGACATGGAAGCACAACTCCAGGAATTTATCTTTCATAATGTGAGAATTTCTTGATTTTAACAGTTCTTGGAGTAAATTTTTCACATTTCCACACAAAAGAGTCCCCAATTTCTTTTAAAAGAAACATCAATGAGTTCACTTTTATAGGTATTCTGTAGATAATTAAATATTCAGTTTTCTGATAGGATATGTTTCACAAAACTGCTGATGCTAACTCTACAGCAGAAGGTTTGGGATGAGGACTTCACCATAATGAGGCAGTTTGTTTTAGCTGGTGGGTGTTTTCTGCTGGAACTTGTTGCCGATGGCTGTTGTTTGGGAGATTACCATGCATGCGGGTTTGTCTGAATCAGTTCTGGTTCATGCTTTGTTGTTCTGGCATTGGCATCCTTATCGACTGTAGTTTAGTATTTGACTCAGACTTTTAAAAGGGAACTGGTATCGTCTTAATAGTGGCAGCACGAGTGTGGTGTGGACTTGTATTTTGTACTCTCAGCTTCCTTCATGGTCTCTCCTGAGAATGTGTGAGTTGATGTGTGCACTGAACAGGATTTTCATGTAGCTGGGTCTAAAACACAGTCTTGGGGATAATCTGTCTTTTTCCTACCCTCTTTTTTTCCTAGTTTGATCAAGAGGCAGAGACAGAGCGAGAGCGAGCACACGTTCCCATATGCTGGTTCACTTTCCAAATGTCTGTGCTGGCTGGGCTGATCCAAAGCCAGGAGCCAAGAACCCAATGCCCATCTCCCAAGTTGGTGACAGGGACCCAGTTACTTGAGCCATCACTGTTTCCTATGGTCTGCACTGGCTGGGAGCTGGAGCTGTGAATCACTGTGCTGGGATGCTGTGAAGCAGGATGCAGGCATCCTCCAGGTGCACCTCGCCCTGCTCTTTACCTGTAACTCCCTTTCAAGTGCAGCTTGAGGGGTGTCTGCTGATAGAAAGGAGTTTCTAGGGATTGTCAGTCCCTTCTAGTGTGGTGATATTGGGAGAGTAGGAACCCTGCAGCCTCTCTGCAGCTGCTGGATGTACTCTGAGTGACAGTGAGGCTGTCGCGTCACCACTGTGCTGGTGGATCAGTGGGAAATGGAACAAGTGTTAAGACAGAGATTAAAAGTGTTTTCGTTCTTGAGGCAGGCATTTGGTGTGCTGCTTAGGCGGAGGTTTGGGATGCCTGCCTCTCATATTAGAGTGCCTGGGCTTAAGTCCCAGCACATGTTCCATTCCAGCTTCCTGTTAGTGAGCACCCTGGGAGACAGCAGGAGACGGCCCAAATCTTTGGGTCCTTGCCACCCACATGGGAGACCTGGGTTGAGTTTTTTAGCTCCAGGCTCAGCCTGGACCAGCCCTAGGTGTTACAGGCATTTAGGTAGTAAGAAATTAGATGGGTGATCCATCAGTCTCTGTCTCTCATTTTTTCAAATAAATTGAATAAAAAATAATTAAAAATAAAAATAAAAATATTCATTTTTCTACAGTAGTTTCTGTTATTTGTTACTTGGTATAAATTTATAATTTTTCTTCATTTTTTTTTGACAGGCAGAGTTAGAGAGACAGAGAGAGAGAAAGGTCTTCCTTTTTCAGTTGGTTACCCCCCCCCCCCAAGTGGCCGCTACAGCCGGTGTGTTGCGGCTGGCGCGCTGCACCGATCCGAAGCCAGGAGCCAGTAGCTTCCTCCTGGTCTCCCATGGGGTGCAGGGCCCAAGGACCTGGGCCATCCTCCACTGCATTCCCGGGCCACAGCAGAGAGCTGGACTGGAAGAGGAGCAACCGGGACAGAACCGGCGCCCCAACTGGTACTAGAATCTGGGGTGCTGGTGCCGCAGGCAGAGGATTAGCCTAGTGAGCCACAGTGCCGGCCAGTTTTTCTTCATATCTTAAGAAATGTAGCAGTTTTAAGTTATAATTCAGATATCACAATATTTACCTTTTTAAATGCAAATTCAGTGATTTTAGTTTATTCCCAGGATTGTCTAATCATCCTCACTATCCCAAGGCTATTTCCAATCTCACAGAAAAGAAACTCTTTACTCTGTAAGAGCACTACTTCCATATGTATATTTCAAACATTTTTTGCACCAGCATAAACATGCTTTAATTCTACTTTCCGTGAACTTTTTATCTTTTTATTTTTTTAAAGATTTATTTATTTGAGAAGCAGAATTACAGACAGAGAAAGGGCAAGAGAAAGAGACAGAGGTCTTCCATCAGCTGATTCACTCCCCAAATGGCTACAACTAGGACTATCCAAACAACACAACTAGGCCTACCAGAAGCCAGGAGCTTCTTCTGTGTCTCCTACGTGGGTGCAGGGGCCCAAGCGCTTAGGCCATCCTCCACTGCTTTCCCAGGCCATCAGTAGGGACCTGGATCAGAAGAGGAGCAGCTAGGACTTGAATCAGTGCCCATATGAGATGCCACCACTCCCGGAGGAGGCTTAACCTACTATATGCCACAGCGCTGGCCCTTCCGTAGGCTTTTTAAAATACCCTTGTATTTCTCTGATAATTTTTTTTTTTTTTACTTTGTGATAGTTACGTTTACGTATTTAATGGTTTGATCATCCCTTTTTCCCTCTTCAGAGTTTCTGAGGTTGAGGCAAGAAACCATTACCCCCCTGACGATGCAGGCCACATTAAATGGCTTCCAGTGGCCATCCACAGGCAGCGTTCAGTCTAGCCTGCCATCTTTTATGTCTTTAAAGGTTATGACAAAACAGCACTAAAAGCAGCATATGTGACAGAGACCTTACGTGGCCCACAAGCCTAAAATACTTACTGTCTATGCATTATGGAATGATTCTTACTGTGCCTGTGGTACCTGGGACTGTTAGCCTGTGATGGTCTGTGGAAGGCCATTTAAGCACACATTCGGTCATGAACATGTCTTTGTTACTAAGTTAAAAGGATTTGGAAGGGACTGAATCCCCCTTGGCTTCAGTGCTGTACGTGCGTGGAGGTAATACTCTACAGTGGGCCCCAGGCTGTGGTTTGTGACTCCTGTGAAGGACCTCGGAGGTTCCTCACGTGTGGCTTGTGGGCTGGCTCCCTTCAGTAGCTTGCTGAGGTTACATTACCTTGTACTATTAACAACAACTTTACTTTCCTTTTTCACTATGTTGACAGAGTACAGGCTCGAAGCCATGGTGAGGCCATAGCAGAAATCAGGGCAGTGGCATCAAACTGTTCTAGTTTCTCCTCGTGTTCTTTACTGCCAAGCCCTCGAGTGAAACCACAGCCAGTTTCACCTGAAATGTCCCTGATGAAGCCAGTACAAATGAACTTTTCAGTGTCCTGTGTGATGAAACGGGAAGAAAGTGCTTCTATTCCTGGTGGTTGTCTCCAGGAGAGCACTCCCTTGTCCTTTGACTTGTGGTGGATTTTACTGGAATGGCATTTCTTTCTTGAGAGGATGACTCACAAGCTATGGTTATTGGCAACATTTCTAACAAATGAATACAGGGTGCCTATTACTTTAGTGAATATGTTTAGCTCTATTTATAGCTAATGACTATATTTGAGCTTTTGATCAAAAATTTGAATTTGGAAAGTTTGTGTCTGCCACCAAAAGTTTGAGAGCTTTCTAATACTTAGAATTTCTGAAGAGACTGGTCATGATGATGAATGTGATTTTTAAAGATGTATGAAATGGGTCAGTCATTATTTTGCAGGTGACCCATACTTGATGTTACTTACAAGACAGATTTTAACGTAAGACTATAAAAAGTTTATTGACACAAATTTGTATTCTATAAGGCAACTAAGTTTTAAGAAACTACTACTTGTCTTATTTTGGTCTTAGTTCAAGAAAGAACATCCACAATTATTCAAAAAGGATACTAAAATGCTCCTCCTTTTTCTAACCAAGTATCTGTTTGAAGCCAGATTTTCTTAATGTATGCCAACCAGAGCAATAAACTGTTAGAGACAGAATACAGAAGTGGCTCTGAGAATCTAGTTGTCTTCTCTTAAGCCTGTTCTTAAATAAATTAATAAAAATGAAAAACTCTCACTTGTCTGTTTTTTGAAGATAGTTATTTTTAACAAAAATATAATATTTACATTAATATTATGAAATGTATTCTTTTTAAATGAATTAATATTCTAAAATATCCTGTTAAATTATTGATTTGATAAATATTAATAGAATTACTAACCCCCATAAACAGGATCTTTAGAGTTCTTAGTACTTTTAAAACTGTAAAGGTCCTGAGACCAAAAGTTTGGGAACCACTCAAATAAGACTTTTAGGCAATCACCTCTGTAAGTTTCTAGTAGTTGAAAGTATTCTCATTAATTTTTAAGCATAAAATGATTTCATTTAAAATAGTTATTTGGATGAATCTGGAAAACATACTTGGTGAAATAAGCCAGTCCGAAAGGGACAAATACTATATGTTCTCCCTGTTCTGTGATAACGAATAGAACACCTAAAAGGAACTCTGTAGAAGTGAAATTGACACTTTGAGAAGAATGACTTGAACAGCCCTTGTCTTGACTGTCAAGGAACAGTTTTTTTTTTTTTTTTTCTTTTTTTCTTTTTTTCTTTTAATGGAGAATGGGACTGGGAATGGGAGAGGGAAGAGGAGGAGGTTGGGTGGGAGGGCTGGTATTGTGGGACAAATCACTATATTCCTAAAGTTGTACTTATGAAATTTGTACTCATTAAATGAAAGGTTTCTTTGGAGAAAAAATAAAATAGTTATTAAGATAGCTCTCAGTATCATGACAATAATCATTATTACCCATTTTGCCATACAAGAGAAATCTGTTCTATTATTTTTCTTGTTTATCAATTCTCATAGCAATCCTGGGGTGAAAACAACATGTCTAGAGGCTCATTCTGAAATGGGGAGCACTGAAATCCTGGAAAAGGAGACCTCAGAAAGTCTCAGCAATGGTACCAGCAGCAACGTGGAAGCAGCCAAAAGGTTGGCCAAACGCCTCTATCAACTGGACAGATTCAAGAGGTCGGATGTTGCGAAACACCTCGGCAAGAAGTACGTTCTGACCCGAGCATGGGGTGTGTGTGTGCGCGCGCGTTCATGCTTTCATTTTACTAAACAAGGCTACTCTGTTTTCTTATAGTAATGAATTTAGCCAACTCGTTGCTGAAGAATATCTGAAGTTTTTTGATTTTACAGGAATGACGCTGGACCAGTCTCTCAGGTATGAATGCCACCACCTCTATTCTTCTTTGCTTCTAAATAATTTATTCTTACAGGAAAAAGTCATGTGCTCAGCTGTAATCTGATTTTGTTTTTTTTTAACCCTCTGTTATTTTGTGAATTTATGTCAGATTGTATTGTAGATGTTATACATAGAGAATAAGAAAAATTTTTGTGAACTCATACACGAAGTACTATTCTGTGTCTATTGGTAAGCCCATATTCATATGGCATGGTAAAGAATGAAGACAAAGCAAGTCTAAAGGAAGAATGGAGTCTGGGAATTTTTTTCAACTTAATGACAGTAAGAACTTAGCATTGTGACCATTTTAAGGTACAATTAATTGATACTAAGTGCATTTTATAATGTTGTATGTCCATCACCACCAGCCATCTCCATAAGTTAATCTTATAAAACTGGAAATCTTTACCCATTAAACAATACTCCCCATTAATTCATCCCCCACTCCTGGCAGCTGTTCTGTACTTTCCATCTCTGTGATTCCAGCTGTTCCAAATGCCTCACTTAAGTGGAATCATCAGAAGTTGCCTTTTTGTGACTGGCTTCATTCAGCCCAAGTCCTCAAGATTCATTCATGTTGTAGCATGTTACAGAACTTCCCCTTTTTAGGGCCAAAAAATGCTCTGTTATATGGCTCTGCCACTGTTATGCTTGTCCATTCAATGGACACCTGCATCAGTCTCACATTTTAGCTGTTGTAATTAATGCTGCTGTGAATGTGAGTATCCAGATACCTTTGTGGAACCCTGCTTTAAATTCTTTTGAGAAGGGAGTTCGGTTTTTAAATGATCAGTAGAAAAGAGCACCAATATGGGTATTTTACGGCAGTTAAGGCACTGCTTGGAATGCACAGATCCCACATCAGAGTTCTTGGGTTCAAGTTCTAGTGTTGTTTTTGATTCTAGCTTTAGGCTAATATACATCCTGGAAGGCAGCAGCTGTTGTGGCTCAAGTAGCTGTGTCCCTGCCACCCACATAGGAGACTTGGATGGAATCCTGTGTTCCTGGCTCCTGGCTCTGGCTCTGGCTCTGGCTCTGGCTCTGGCTAGGCCAGGCCCAGTTGCAGCTCTTGTGGCATTCTGGGGAGTAAACCAGCAGATGGGGATCTCTGTCTATCTGTATTTATCTCTTTGCCTTTCAAAGAAAGAAAGTAAAAAAGAAAGAACGCAATTCACAGAATATAAAATTATAGACTTTTTTTCCTAAGCATTTTCTTAAATACTCAAATAACTTTTTAAGATGATAACTTTTTTGGAATTAATTTGGAATGGAATTATAATGAGTATCACAAAATAATAGGAAGTATCAGTAAAACTGTTCCAGACAGTGTCCATTTTTCCAGGGAAGGGGCCCAACACATTGATCCTCACTTTCTGTATTATTATACAGAACGTTTCTAAGACCAGCTGAACCCAATTAGCATTTAGTCTTATAGATTGCTTGTAAAAGGCTGGGGTTTGGAAGAATTCTGCGGGTCATCTAGTACAACCATTTAATTTGACAAGTCAGGAGAGCGAGGCCTGGGAGGTGAAGTGTGGATGTCTAGGTGAAGGTGTGCTGTAGTCATTTATTCTGTGGTGCTTTCTGATGAAAATAGTAAGAGTGCAGGAAAGATCCGTGTTTTTGCTTTGTGTCTGGTGTGATTTATTAAAAAAAAAAGTTATGCAAAGTTTGTTCAACATAATTTAGTTTAATAAACTATAAGTGATTAATGAGGAAGAAGGCAGCATTTTCATAGAAATAAGGCTGATTGTATGTTTTCAGTAGTAAGACTTTTTTTTTTTTAATTTTTGACATGCAGAGTGGATAGTGAGAGAGAGAGAGACAGAGAGAAAGGTCTTCCTTTTGCCGTTGGTTCACCCTCCAATGGCTGCCGCGGCCGGCACACTGCGGCTGGCACATCGCGCTGATCCGAAGCCAGGAGCTTTTCCTGGTCTCCCATGGGGTGCAGGGTCCAAGCACTTGGGCCATCCTCCACTGCATTCCCGGGCCATAGCAGAGAGCTGGCCTGGAAGAGGGGCAACTGGGACAGAATCCGGCGCCCCGACGGGGACTAGAACCCAGTTTGCCGACACCGCAAGGTGGAGGATTAGCCTATTGAGCCACGGCGCTGGCCAAGTAGTAAGACCTCTTAGAATATTTAAAATGGCTTTTTTGTTCTTCTCATCTCATGTTTTGGAAAATGTAGCTGCATGGTCAAGTGAGAATCATCTGGATTCATCCATAGTATTCATCCACAGTATTCATAATAACTCCATTTATTTGCTGCATAGTTCTGGGCATATTTCCTATTATTCGAAGTACTTTTATTTATAAATTGATTTATTCCATAACTTAACGAATAAAGATTTTATCTCCCAATTTCCTCCTAAAAATTAATAATCAAATATGGTGGTAATCATCAAAATAAAATTAGCAGAAATCTGCTATGCATAAAATAATGTAATTATAATTTTAATGATGGATTAATAGAGGGCCCTGCACTGTGGCATAGCAGGTAAAGCAGCCGCCTGCAGTGCCGGCATCCCATAAGGGCACCAGTTCTTATCCCGGCTGCTCCGCTTCCAATCCAGCTCTCTGCTATGGCCTGTGCACCCATGTAGGGAGACCCAGAAGAAGCTCCTGGCTTCAGATGGGTCCAGCTCCGGCTGTTGCGGCCATTTGGGGAGACATTCTCTCTCTCTCTCTCTCTCTCTCACTGCCTCTGCCTCTTTGTAACTCTGCCTTTCAAATAAATAAATAAATAAATGAATAAATAATCTTTAAAAAATAATGGATTAGTAGAGATTACAGTCATCTAACAAATGACAAAGGAATCCTTATGTATGTAGAATTTTAAAACAACATAGACTGCTATTATGCATTGAGTTTTATGTGTTCTTTGGTGTTTTCCTATCCTACTGGTCTTTAAAATTGGCTTCTTGACACTAAATCATAATTGGGAAATTACCTACCTGCCTAAGGCTTTGAGGAATGGGCTACTCTGTTATTACCCTGTCATCCTTTACAGTGACGTTTTATAGAATTCAAATCAATGTGAGTTTATGTTGGGTGACCATCTAGTAAGTGATTTTTTTGGGAAACAACTGATACTTTGCTTTGTACAATTAATCTCTTATGTTTATATAAATTGATGTTACCAAACAGTGATAACATCTTCTAAAATCTCCCTTTTTTCCCCTTAATCTTTTTTAGGTATTTTTTTAAGGCTTTTTCTCTTGTGGGAGAAACTCAAGAACGAGAGAGAGTTTTAGTACACTTCTCCAATAGATATTTTTATTGTAATCCAGACACCATTGCTTCACAAGGTAATCTGATGCAAGTTCTTTTTTTTTTTTTTTGAACTGTTTATTTCTTATGAAAGTGAAGTTTCATGTGGAATGGAAATTATATAGAAGTGATAACTAACATTTTGATTGGCTTCCTTTTAGTCCATTTATATACTATTTAATGTCAAATTGAAATAATTGCAGTTTTAGTTTTTACTTTCTTGTGAGCATATTCTCATGTCATTGAGTATTTAAAACGATATTTAATGGCAGCATAATATTCTTTATTCTTCTTTTAATTATTTTTATAGTTTTCTAATTCCATAATGTAATATCCTTCACTTAAGTTGCTCAGCTTTGTTTAGCCAAATTTTTTTAATAGGAAGCTTTTACTTAATAAATATAAATTTCATAAGTACAACTTTTGGATTATAGTGGTTCTTCCCCCATACCTGCTCTCCTACCCCCAAACCATCCCACTTCTTACTCCCTCTCCCATCCCGTTCTTCATTAAGATTCATTTTTTAAAAAATTTTTTTGACAGGCAGAGTGGACAGTGAGAGAGAGAGAGAGAGAGAGAGAGAAAGGTCTTCCTTTGCTGTTGGTTCACCCTCCAATGGCTGCCGCAGCTGGCATACTGCGGCCTGCGCATTGTGCTGATCCGAAGGCAGGAGCCAGGTGCTTCTCCTGGTCTCCCTTGCAGGTGCAGGGCCCAAGGACTTGGGCCATCCTCCACTGCACTCTCGGGCCATAGCAGAGGGCTAGCCTGGAAGAGGGGCAACCGGGACAGAATCCGGCGCCCTGACCAGAACTAGAACCCAGTGTGTCGGCGCCACAGGCGGAGGATTAGCCTATTGAGCCACGGTGCCGGCCTAAGATTCATTTTTAATTATCTTTATATACAGAAGATCAACTCTAAGTAAAGATTTCAACAGTTTGCACCCACATAGACACACAAAGTATAAAGTACTGTTTGAAGACTAGTTTTACTGTTAATTCTCATTTATAACACATTATGGACAGAGGTCCTACTTGGGGAGCAAGTGCGCAGTGACTCGTGTTGTTGACTTAAAGCACACTGTGATAAATAAATGCAGATTTTCTCATTTCTTGTTCTTACACCTCTGGTCTGCACACTTCTTAATGAAAGTGCATGCATGCTTAATTCTGTGGTTTGTTTTGGAAATGTTTCCACATCTTACTGCTGGAAGTTGTTGTGTATCTCTGTTCTTTTGTTCAGTATTAATTGTAATAACACTGACTACCAACTGACTTTCATTTATGATGTTAATGAACCATGAGTTTATGTTTATTGTTCTGTTTTTACAAAGTACTTTAAACTATTGTTGACCTACTCTATGAAGAGAGGTCTCTTCTCCATTTCAGTTCTGCAATAAAAGCCAAGTTTTCAGAGTATGGAGTCAACCACATTCACTTGTGATTGCAAAATGTTTCATAAACTTACAAATTCTGTAATAAATTGCTGAGGCTAGATGAACGAAACACAGTAATTAACTCTTAGCTTCAGTTTTGCCAGTTAACTGGACTCAACATACTTGGTATTGAGTAAGGTAGAACTCCCTTCTATCCCTGAACTATACCTATACTCTCTTTACTATCTGGTTAGTAAGGTCAAGTTCTTATATGTAAATTGATGCTTTTGGATCAATTATTCACTATTTATGTTACTTTAAGCTTTGAGAGAGAAAGAGACAGGAGAAGTTTGTTTTTATTCTAGCCTTCAAATCTGAGAGCGGGTTGACCTTCCCTTGTAAAATAAAGAACAGGCATTTGTGTACTCAGTTGGCTGTTGATAAGGATATTTGAGAGTTGGCTGCTGAGTTTTACAAATGTTTACAGGAATTCATTTTAAGTGTGTGCAGAATTTATGATAAAATGGAACTAGACTAAAAGTACTTTTAGGCATTTTGTAGATTATACTTAGAGATATTGCTAACAGAAATCATCTCTCATACTAAAAGGCATATTTTTAAATATAGTCTGTCTTTCATTTATGAATTCAGTAATTGGACAGGCCTTTCTGTTGATTTAGCAAACATTAATATGGTTTTTTCCTGAGTCTGAAATTGCTATTGTCTGTTTCACTTACATTGAGAATTTGTAGGCAGAGAATAAGGAGAACTCTAAATTTTTTGCTTAGAAATGAGAAGCTTAACTTTTCATGCTTTTTATTTTACTTTTTGAGTTAAAAAAGTAGTATTTCCATTTAAGTGTGAAATGATCCTCCTGGTTTGGGCAACTTTATTCCCTATTTAAGTTTTCTATCTTCACAGATTATATCACTGTTTTACTTTGGTCTGATCCATCATGTTGTAAACAAAATCATTCTATTGAAATATTACCCTGTAAAAACTGCAAGAAAGAGAAGAATTATTCCTACCTATATATTTTTAGCCAGAGAAATAATTCCCAAGAAGTAAATAGAAGATCTAATCTTGATTTTTTAAACTTCTTTCTCAATTCTCTTTCCTTCCAGAAAGTAAACAAATTAACATTATTAAATAATTTCTTTTCCTTTTTATATCCTGTTGTAGAAAATTGAGAAACTAAGAAGAAAAAAAATAATTAGCTCACTACTGAGAAATAACTTCTTTTAATATGGTACACATTCTTCTAGATATATTTATGTTCAAATGTGTATTTTACATATAAAATTTATGGTGAAAAATCTTCCATTTAAACCTATGTATGTGGACATTTCTGATTACTTCAGCCTAACAAAATTGTGTTTTGGAGGGTTTTGAGTTCCCGTCTACCTTTGTAAACAGTGATTCTCTGGATCTACTTGCATTTTGTTTAGATTTGTTTAGAATCTTTATTATTCTTAGTGTAAAGCTCTAGGAGTGGATTGATTATGTCAGAGGTTACCATATCAAGGCTCTACAAGTAATGTCCAGCTGTCTTCCAGAGAAGTCCTAACAGTTTATCAAGAATAGAGTTCACCTTGAACATTGAGGTCCTTTTGATGTTACTCTTATCCATGTTTAGAGCTCTCCTCTTCTTTGAAGTAAATGAGATGAACCGTGCATAGCACGGTGTGGTGTTTCCATAAGATGTGTTATCTCGTGATGATGTGGGGAGTCCAGCAGCGGGTAGTGAGTGAAGATTTCTGTCCTTGTCTCCTCCTTTAGATGGAGTCCATTGCCTTACCTGTGCTATGATGCTTCTCAATACGGATCTGCATGGCCACGTAAGTGTAGTTTGGTGAAACTGGCATTCAGAAGTCAGAACATCTTGGGAATATCTTTGCTTTTTGTCCATGAATGCTTATTTTGCCTCCCTTTCTCTCATTCTCTGCATGGCTCTCATGGCAACACAAACCTTTGGAAAAAGAAGTAACTTGTTGTTTCACATAGTAGAAGGGGGTATGTGCCATATTGTCTGGATTGCTGTAGCAGTTATGTGTGTGTGAGCCATATCTTATTTTTCCACTAGATGGCAGAAAGAGCTCCTACTTGGTTTTCTGTTATTAAGGGTGATATACAATGATAAAAGGAAAATACGCTTGTAAGATCTGAAAATATCTATTATATTTTCCCTAAATACAGTTTCTAATCTTCTATTTAAAATAGAGGATGAACTGATTACATTCATAATTATGCATAAATTTCCTCTTTTTTTTTTTTTTTGACAGGCAGAGTTAGACAGTGAGAGAGAGAGAGACAGAGAGAAAGGTCTTCCTTTTCCGTTGGTTCACCCCCCAACTGGCCACTACGGCTGGCACGCTGCGCCTATCTGAAGCCAGGAGCCAGGAGCCTCCTCCTGGTCTCCCATGCAGGTGCTGGGCCCAAGCACTTGGGCCATTCTCCACTGCACTCCCGGGCCACAGCAGAGAGCTGGACTGGAAGAGGAGCAATCAGGACAGAATCCTGCGCCCCGACCGGGACTAGAACCCGGGGTGCTGGGGCCGCAGGTGGAGGATTAGCCAAGTGAGTCACGGTGCCGGCCGTAAACTTCCTCTTTTCATATGAGTAGGATTTTAGCATTTACTCAAATTCTTCATACCAGAGAAAATGAGAATGTTTTAAATATTGATCAGTCTATATTTAGAACAAAAATTATCTCATAGTCCTAAGTCCATTTATTTATCATATCTAAGTTCCAAGTCCATTTATATTTATCATATCTCGATGTAATTAAACAGTATATCATCCCTTGATTTGTTATAATTTAATAAAAAATTTATAAATCACATTAAAGTAAGTAATAGATATTCTGTTCCAAAAGGCCCCCTGATTTCCTCACTTGAAATTCCAGTGCTTGCGCTGAAGGAAGGCACAATGGGCCTGTGTGGGGCTATTCCTTGCGACTATCAGGGGAGGGGGAGAAAGAGTTCCTTCATTAGCAGTGAAGGAGATGCTGCTGGAATTGTAATTTTAACATCTTCTTCACGTATCTCAAATACTCAACTAGGAATTTCCTTTTGCAATTTGTAAGGGGTGACTTTAGAATAACTTAGAGTGGCTTATAAGGATGCCTGGCATGTGCCCAGAGATTACAAAGGCTAAGGCTATAGGTATTTTTAGTGAGCATTCTTGGTTAGTAGGGCTGTACAAGGAACACGCCATGCGGACATGAAGGCACTGCGGTTCCCACAGGGTGAGCCTTAAAATGAGTATCAGAATCTCACATTCCTCCAGCTTGGTAAAACAGTTTGTCCTGACATCTGTTTACATATTACCAAACAAGTTTTTCCTGCTTTCTTCTTTGCCTATTTTGTGATAAGAGTCACATTCTTTTCCCTTTCCCTTCTCAATTTTTCACCTATGTTTTGGTCAAAGGAGAGAATTTTGGGTATGTTTGTCCATATGTAACATTGATCCATGGCAGCCATTCCCAGCATGAAGAATCCTCTTTAGATGGGTAATTGGATTAAAAATGGTAACAGTTCAATTCCTATTTAAAACGTTAGGATTTCATCAATCTTCTGAAGAGGTTTTGGGAGTTTTGAGGATTTGTTTCTATTAAATCCTAGCTTTTTAAAAGCTAATAGAAGCTTCACAATACTTTTTTTTTTTTTTTTTTTGACAGGCAGAGTGGACAGTGAGAGAGAGACAGAGAGAAAGGTCTTCCTTTGCCGTTGGTTCACCCTCCAATGGCCGCCGCGGCCAGCGCGATGCGGCCGGCGCACCGCGCTGATCCGATGGCAGGAGCCAGGAGCCAGGTGCTTTTCCTGGTCTCCCATGGGGTGCAGGGCCCAAGCACCTGGGCCATCCTCCACTGCACTCCCTGGCCACAGCAGAGGGCTGGCCTGGAAGAGGGGCAACCGGGACAGAATCCGGCGCCCCGACTGGGACTAGAACCCGGTGTGCCGGCGCCGCTAGGCGGAGGATTAGCCTAGTGAGCCGCGGCGCCGGCCTTCACAATACTTTTAAATAAGTATGTATGCTGTTAAGCACAGTGAGGTTTATGTTTTTGTTTGGATGACTCAGCATACCCTACATCCAATCCAGTCTTGGTGTCTCTAACCCACAGGTTCAGAACCATAGACCTGGGACATTTGTTCTTGCCCTGTCTTCAGATAGCTTTTGAGGAATCCTGAAAGCATTGTATCCAGAGATTCTGTGGATAAAACCATAGAACTTGGAAGGAATAATACTGGTTAATAGGGCTGTAGTAGGAATTCATCATGTGGAAATGCAGTGCCCAAAATGTGAGCCTTGAAATGCTTGCTCTTTTTTGGCAACTGGGATGGAAGAGATGGTTCAGGGGTGGGGAGCCTCCAGCCTACAGGGCGTATAAGGTCCACAAAGTCATTTGGTCTGGCCCTGCCAAGGCATTTGCAGGTAGAACTCGAAATTCAGTAAGTTGATAGCAGACTGATTTTTAAGTTGTTAATTTTGTATGTACCATGAATGGTGTTATAAATATCCAAAAGGCTCATGCAGAAGAATGATTCCCACCCCTGGTTTATATCTATAAATGAACATTTTAGTATTGTCTTGAGTTATACCATTCATAGATAATTAACAATTGATTGTAGCAATATACTGATTTTAAGAAGGAAAATTAGAATTAATAGTAGACCAGTGCCGTGGCTCACTAGGCTAATCCTCCGCCTGCGGCCCCAGCACCCCTGATTCTAGTCCCGGTCGGGGCGCAGGATTCTGCCCCGATTGCTCCTCTTCCAGTCCAGCTCTCTGCTGTGGCCCGAGAGTGCAGTGGAGGATGGCCCAGGTGCTTGGGCCCTGCACCTGCATGGGAGACCAGGAGGAAACACGTGGCTCCTGGCTTCGGATAGGCACAGCACGCGCCGGCTGTAGCGGCCACTTGGGGGTGAACCAACGGAAAAGAAAGACCTTTCTTTCTGTCTCTCTCTCACTGTCTAACTCTGCTTGTCAAAAAAATAAATAGATAAAATAAAATAAGAATTAACAGTAAATCTCCATCCTCAGCGTCATGTTTTTGGTGATAATTAGTTCTTAGTTTTGTTTGTTAAAAACATGTTGCTGTATCCTTAGGATTGTGTGTTATTTAGGTTTTGTTATATGTTCGTTTTCTGTGTCCTTGTTTACAACGTTTGCTGTCACAAGTCTGTTGAATATATTGAAGCTGTCATCAGAACTAACCATATGAAAATGTGTTTCTTTTATCTTTCTCATCTGGATTCACTGTAAAAATTCATTTTCCTTCTAGGTGGTAAGTTTTCATCCATAATTCTGGATGTAGCTCCTCTTGCATCATGATTGCCTTGTTTATTGTTACAGTGTCTGTTCTGTTTGACTTATTAGCATGGCCCCAGTGAAGCTGAATTCTTCAGAATCTAAAGTGAATTATTTCAAATGTCTAACCCGTTCTCCTAACTGCTTTACTGCACCAGGCCATCCCTAACCATCCATGCCAGTCTAATCCTCTGGTGGGGTATAAACAAGCCAACTACCTTCTCTTTCCTTACCATTGCGTCCCTCAGAGCAGTACAGCAGCATGGCCTTCCTCAGAAGGGTGAGATTCACGCTATCAACCAGGGAGGGTTACCTAGCTGGGGAGATGAACTTCTCTTGCCGGCTGTGTGTGAATCTTTCCTTTATCCTGAGGAATGATGCGCTGAGAATGCGTTCGTATGGGCCTTTGTTTGGCCTGCTCATTTTCTTACTAATCAAATAATGGAATGTATACTAATACAATAAATAGTTTATATTTTAATGTTAATGTTGGAATGCCTTTCCAGCTTTTCTTTTTTGAAGTATTCTCTTATTTAACACATATTTATGTTGTGTCTACTCTTCCCAAGTCTTGTGCTACTGGGTAAGGATCAGAAATGAATGAGACATGTTCATGGCAGTCAAATCTTATCTTTGATGATGTTGCCAGGCCAGCTTCCATCAGTCAGGTTTGACTGAGGAAATGAGAACAGGTAATGAGCTGCTGGAGGAGAAACACTGGGGAGATGTTTTAATTTCACGTTAGTTCCACCTCCATAATTAGACTAGAGAGAAAATAATCTAATGTGTAGACAGTATTTTAGAGGACAAATTCATTGATGCCCTTCAGTGTATCTGCTTTTAAAGGAGATGATTTATCATTGTTTAGGTAATCGTATTGACTTGCTTTCCTCCTCTGCAAATATCTCTTCTGTTAGATAAAATAAATAATTAAATTGTGTTCATGTGGATAATTTGCTGATTAATCCCTTTTTATTTTTAAAATACTTCTTAATTTTCAAAATACGTATATGAAATAAACTTCTGACCATATAAATAAATATCTACTAAAACAATCTGTCTTTTGCTGTATTGGAAATAAGTTATACCAAATGTTTCTTGAATTAGCACAATGAAAGAAATTCTTCTGCCTATTTGAACTCCATTCTATTGGACATGATATGTGAAAAAAGGATTTGACATGATAGAGTAGGTTCAACTGATTCTGGGCTAATCTTCATGTGTGCTCTGCCCATTCAGCTGGCTGTTCTGTCCTCGGGCTGCATTTAGGATTCAGCCACCTTGGCACCATGTTTGCACAGACCAAAGGCAGGTGGTAAGGCAGGAGGGCAGGCAGGAACTCCTCACCAGGGCTGCCAGTCTCGGGTGATAGGAAGTTGTAGGTATAGAACGGAGCTGCAGTGAAGGCTGAGATAGATGGGAGCATAGTCAGCTGGACAGTTTTACCACTGCAAGGTCATAAGAGGCATACCAGTTCCGTGGCTGATGTGGTCAGGTATTCATCCAGAGGCATTATTTTTAATCCAAA